ATAAATAAATAAAATCTTAAAAAAAAAAAAAAAAAGAAATGAGAAACTAACATGAAAAGAAAAGAGATAATGGAATAGAGACAATACGTGAAAAGATAATGGCTGATAATTTTCCAAAACTAATTAAAGAAACTGTTCCACAAGTTAGAGAACCATAAAGAATCCCAAGCAGGATAAGTGAAAAAATGGTAACAAAAAGAGCTGAAGTGCTACGTTATTGTCAGACAAAATAGACTTTAAGTCAAAAAATGTTACAAAAAAATAAAGAAGGACTTTATATTTTGATAAAAGGTACAATCCAACAAGAAGAAATAACAATTATAAACATACATGTGCCTAACAACAAAACCCAAAAATATATGGAAGAAGATTGGACAGAATTAAAGAGAGAAATAGACAGTTCTACAATAAAAGTTGGAGATGTCAATAATCCACACTTTTAATAATGGGTAGAACAATCAGACAGGTAATCAATAAGGAAATAGGGGACTTGAACAACATAAACCAACTAGATCTAACCCACAAATACTCCACCCAATCACAGCAGAATACACATTTTTCTCAAGTGCACAAGGAACATTCTTCAGGATAGACCATATGTTGGGCCACAAAACAAGTATTAATAAATTTTAAAAGATTAAAATAATACAAAGTATCTTTTGTGATCACAATGGAATGAAACTGAAAACTAGTAACAGAAAAAAAAAACTGGAAAATTCGCCAATATGTTGAAATTAAACAACACACTCTTAAACAACTGATGGGTCAAAGAAGAAATCACAAAGGAAATTAGAGAATACCTTGAGATGAGTGAAAATGAAAACACCACATACCAAGACTTATAGAATACAGTGAAAGCATGCTAAGCGGGAAGCTGATAGCTGTAAACACAGACATTAAAAAAAAAGAAGCACCCATTAGATAACTATTATAAAAAAAAAAACAAACAAAAAGAAAATAACAAGTGTTGACAAGGATGTGGAGAAATTGGACCCTTGTGCATTGCTGGTGGGGTTGTAAAATGGTGCAGTCAAAGTGGAAAACTTAGTAAAGCAGTTTTTCAAAAAATTAAACATAGAATTACCATATGATCCAGTCATTCCACTTCTGGGTATAACTCAAAAGGAATGAAAGCAGGGACTCGTACAAAAACTTCTAAACCAGTTCACAGTAGTATTACTCATAGCAGCCAAAACATGGAAACAACCCAAGGTCCATTAACAGATGAAGGGATAAACAAAATGTGGTACTTCCATACAATCGAATTTTAGTCATAATAGGAATGAAATTCTGATACATGCTACAACATGGATGAACTTTGAAAACATTATGTTTAGTGAAGCAAAACTCGAAAGAAAAATATTGTATGCTCCCACTTATATAAGATACCCAGAATAGGAAAACTCAAGGAGACAGAGGGTAAAATAAAGGTTTTCAGGGGCAATGGGGAGGGGGTAATGAAGAGTTGTCGTTTAATTGGTACAGTGTTTCTGTCTGGAATGATGGTAAAGTTCTGGAAACAGATAGCAGTGAAATAGATAAAGGGAATTAAGAAGTACAAACTTCCAGTTATAAAATAAATAAGTCATGGAGATGAAAAATACAGCGTAGGAAATATAATCAGTAATACTGTTGTATGGGGGCGCCTGGGCAGCTCAGCCGGTTGGGCATCTGTCCTCTACTCAAGTCATGATCCCGGGGTCCTGGGATCAATCCCACATTGGGCTCCAACCCCACATTGGGCTCCCTGCTCAGCGGGGAGCCTGCTTCTCCCTCTGCCTCTTCCCTCTACTTGTGCGCTTTCTCTCTCTCAAATAAATAAATAAAATCTCTTTTTTCTAGATTTATTTATTTATTTATTTATTTATTTGACACAGAGAGAGAGCGAGAACAAGCAGGGGGGAGTGGAAGAGGGAGAAGCAGGCTCCCCGCTGAGCAGGGAGCCCATGAACCCTGGGATCATGACCTGAGCCGAAGGCAGTCGCTCAACCAACTGAGCCACCCAGGTGCCCCATAAATAAAATCTTAAAAAACAAAACAAAACACTGTTGTATGGTGACAGTGACCACAATTATCGTGGTAAGCATCGAGTAATGTGTAGAATTGTTGAATCAATATGTTGTGCACCTGAAACTAATATAATATGGTATGTCAATTATATTTCATTTAAAAAAAAGAGCTCTGAATCAACCAGGCCACACCTGCTAGGGGTATCTTTCCTCACCAGCTGTACGTTCAAAGGGTCAGCAGGACGGCTGGCTCAGGGAGGACCTCCTTGCCCTTCCATGGATTTTTGGTATTTTTTAAAGATTTTATGTATTTATTTATTTATTTGAGAAAGAGAGCGAGAAGCAGACTTGCCGCTGAGCGGAGAGCCCGATTTGGGGCTCAATCCCAGGACCCTGAGATCATGACCGAAGCAGAAGGCAGATGCTTAACTGACTGAGCCACCCAGGCGCCCCCTTGCCCTTCCATGTTATCTTGGGTTTCTTGGAGTCAGTGAATACACACTGGGGTGTCTGACCAACGAGATGACTCTGGGTAGAATAATCCCAAACCATCAAGCAAACCACAACAAATCGGATAGCCAGAGGCCTACCAGGTTATCTCGAAGAAATAAAAGGCATCGTTAATTTGGCCAAAGTTTACCTCCGCCCAGAGGTGTTGAAGTCACACCTCTCTGCCAGCGGATCAAGGAGCCCCCTACTTTATCTTCACTGAACCAACTCTGTTTCCCTGGACTCAGTTCAGCTGTCACCTCCTCCGGGGAGCCTGCCCAGACCCGCCTCAGTCCAGGTCGGGAACCTACGGTGGGGCTCAGGCTAGTGCCGTCTTAATCACCTGTCTGGGCTCCGCCCGGGGACCCCATACCCCACAGTTCCGTAGCCGTACCAGGCCGAGAGCCCGGCCCCGCCACTACGGTCACTCACCACTGCAGGTGGAAGGTGTGGCCGCAGTGGATGGCGGCCACATCTCGAGAGTGGTCGAAGAAGTCGGAGCAGATGGTGCACAGCGCACGGATAGGCATGATGACTGGTCTAAAGGGGATCAGGCAGCCGAGGAAACCTCGACCCGTCCAGCTTCGCGGCCGCGCCCCCGCGTCCCGGCGGGCTTCGAATTTGGCTCCACTGCGCAACTTCCGGGAGCGGACCGGAAGTGGTTATAAGGAACGGGGAGGCTGGGTCCGGATTGGACAAACCGTGGGGGGCGGGGCTTAACGACCGAAGAGAATCCTGGGGCTGAGCGCGGGACTGTCAGCTGTAATTCTCCAGTGGCTCCCGGAAGGATTTGGCATGTACTCGCGGCAGCTACGCCATCGGCGGGCCCCTTTCTGGGGCAAGACAAGACATTATGGTCCGACGCCAGATCTGGTGCGAGGCGCGCCGGGCATTGGCTCCTCAGCCCTGTTCTGTCAGAGCAGCCTTCTCTGCACTTCGAGAGTCGAGAAGACCAAAGCCACAGGGGAATGGGACGATGGTCCCGATGGAGAGCGGTCCCCTGGGCTCTGGGCAGTGCTCGACCGTACGCCCGTAGTTCCCACAGACTAAAAGAATGCTCCACCCTCTCAGCCTTCGGCTCTGAGTGGTCCTAGAAAGATGGACACAGGTCCCAACCCCTCAGGACACCCCAAGCTTACTCTGGCTTTATCCAAGCAAGGCATGATGATCCCTAAGTTTGGAGGCAGCAAGGCCAGTACCCTGACTTTCGCTCTTAGCTCTCAGGAGGACCAGCATGCCTCTGGACTGTATAGTGGGGTTACAATTTTGGAGGCCCAGATGCTTTATAGACCAGTGACTAACAAACCCTTTTATTGAGTCCCACATCAGAGAAGTTATCTCTGGGGTTCTCCCTGAGAAAGAGCAGCATCCGTGGTGAATTCATCTGGGCCAGTCAGGACTGGAACAAGTCTTCCTAGCAGTTTTCATGCTTAACTGTTTTTAGCAGTGTTACTACCCTCTCCCCCGAAGAAACCTTATGTAGAGCCCCATGATCTAACGTTGATTTGTTCCACCTGAAGTAGACCCAGAGTGAAGTTCTTTGGGCCTGTGTGGAAAGCACGGGCATTGTCCACAGGGAGGAGGAATCAACACAAAGGGCAGCATAGAACCTTTGTGTACTGCCCACCCTGCACCCTCTCCCCAACCCAGGGAAGCCCACTTTGGCCATGGGCAAGGTCTCTCCCTATGATGGCTGGTCTGTGGTGAGTTTCAGTTATATGCCTAAGTCAAGACAAGGGCTCCTTGTTCAACAGGACTTGTCAGAACAGCAGTCCGGGGGGGTTTCCTTGGCACAAGCCCAGGACAGGACCCACCACCCACATGGATTTCTAGCGTCCAGAGGACCCGCCACAATCAAGGAACACACAGTGGTAAAGAATGATCTGTACCCAGCCCAAGCAATCCTCATGGCACTGAGCACAGACATGTGAACCTACTCCCAGCCTCTTCCCTCCCCACTGCCTTCCAGGGGCCCCTCCCCAGTAAGACAGAGGAAGCAAAGGCAAGAGGATGGCCAGAGGCTTTGGCAGGGTGACATTTATTTGCCAGGTTCAGCAGGCACACAGTTAGCCTACCGACCTTCATACACCAGAGCAGACCCACAGGCATGCAGGGAGAAGGGCAGGACTGCCACTGGAGTGCTGAGCAAAGGCCGGGACCAGTGCGGCTGCCTGCCCAAGCTGTGGTGGGGTCTGACAAAGGGCACCTGCCAGGAGCCTCCATCAGGAAATTGGGGAGCCTTATTCCACTTCCTCATCCCAGTAAAAGCAACTCAGCATAGCTCAGAGGCACCTGGGCCTCTCTCTAAGCCCTGACAGAAGGGGAAATGGGTCACAGACATAGAGGGGTGGGGGTGGGGGTTCCTCTCTATTTTATTTTTCAATTAGGAGAGCAGAAATCTGCCCCTGTGAAGGGCAAACCTCAAATCAGATTATGGGACACTGCCATGTGGCAGGCCCCCTGGGATGGAGAGGACTGTAGCCTGAGCCTGAGGAACACCATCAGAGAAGAGCCAAGGGCTATCAGCCTTCCCTGTCTGGCTCAGGGTAAGGACCCAGCTAAGCTGGTGCACTAGGTACTGGGCCTACACTCTGCCCTCCCAGTTTTCATTGCCACATCCCAACTGTTCCCTCCTTCCCCTTACAGGCTCATGAAGCTCAGGGCACAGGGCAACCCACTGCAGAACCCAGGAGGGCAGGAAATACCACAAGGATATTATTGGTGGGAACTCTCCAGGAACAAAGGTGGACGTTTCTACCCCCCTACTCATTCTCTTTCACTTCTGAGGACCCCCAAAGCTACCAAGCAGTGCCCCCAACCATGCGACCAGTCTTGTCTTAAAGCATACTGCCCTAGATTTGTACATTCTCTATACCAGCCTGTGTCCATCCTTAGAGCAGCCCACATACCACAGGCACATACCTTCATGTGCAGGAGCCTAAGACCGCTGACAGGGCCTCGCTGGAGGACCAGCTCTCAGGGCAAGGCCACCCAAGTTTAGGGCCTGGGAGAGGATGGGACCTGCAGGGCCTGCCTGGGGAAATTGTGAGGCAAAAAGGGAAGGGGAAAGGGAGCAGGGACCTCCTGAGTATCCCTAGAGCAGCATCCCGCAAGGAACAGAAACTGGTGAAGCTAGCGAAAGACAGAAAAGCCACAAGGAATCCATGCAGGGGCTGGGGCCGGTCCTGCCTCTGGCCTGCCCACCACTCACGCACATACACACAGGAGATGAGACTGCTCTCCCGTGGCCCCCAAACATGCCCCACACTGGGAGGCAGGGGCAGGAGGGAGCAAGGGCATCATGCCAGTGACTCTTATGTACAGTGAGAAGCCCCTCATCCACTCTCCCACCCTCCTGCCCGCCCCCTGCCCCACACCAGCCTGCTCACTCAGCTGGTCTCCTCCCTCCGAGACTCCTGGGCATAGCCAGCAGCCTCTTCCCCTTTACTGGAGGGTGGAGCCTGGCCTGTTGTGCCCCCGGGGGCTGTGCTGTCCGGCTGGGCCAAAGCCGGCTCAGGGGTGGCAGCTGCCTTGGTGGCTGGTGTGACACTGCTTTGGGGGGTGGGCACGGTGCTCTCTTCGGTGGCTGGTGTGGCTCTCCCATCAGTGGCTGGAGTAACACTCCTATCGGTGGCTGGGGTGATGCTCCCATCGGTGGCTGGGGTGATGCTCCCGTCGGTGGCTGGGGTGACACTGCCATCGGTGGCCGGGGTGGTACTGCCATCGGTGGCTGGGGTGGCACTACGGTCTGCGGGGGCTGCATTATCGCTCTTTGCGGCAAGAGCAACAGCACCCGCTGTGGCTGAGGTGGCGCTGCCCCCAAGGGCTGGGGCAGCCCCACTTGCAGCTGCGGCCCCGCCTGCAGCCCCAGCAGTGGCAGTGTCTGTGGCTGGGGCAGACTGGGCTGTCGCTGTGCTGGACTGCTCCGGGGCCCGGAGCCGTTTCATGAGGGTAGTCACTCGGACAGCCTTCTGAAAGGAGGGCAGCAGAGAGAGGCCCAGAGTGAGCTTACAGAAGCCAGATCCGTTCCTTGGCAAGAGCCAAAGCCAGCATTCTGAGCCAAAGCCTCTGACCACCCCAGGGGAGCAGGCCAGGGACCCAGCTGTTCACACACCCACGTAAGGCAGACGGTGGCTACAGCCACACCTGGTGGCTGAATAAACGCCTTTGTGTGGCTGCAGGGGTGTGATACAGGCAAGAGACTGTGTGGCAGAAGGAGCTCTTGGCATCAGTCCAAGAAAGGGAGTCATCCGAGCCTTACCTTCCACTTGGCCCTGGCAAAGTTCTTTTCAATCTGGGCACAGACACCATCCTTGATGTTCTTATCAGAAGCAGCATTGCCAGAAATCCTAGAAAGGGTGCAAGTGCATTGGGATCTGAGGGGGTATAGGCCTTCATGGAGACTGCCCAGCCCTCTTCTCTTAAGATCCAGAGGTTACCAGGCAGGCCCTCTGGGCTGGGCCTGAGCTCTGGGCACCCCCAGCCCCTACTCAAAGCCTCAAGGATGGGGCTACTAGATGTGAGGAGGACTAGGCCAAGGGAAACCTGGCCTCTCCTTCTGTCCTCCATGGGCCCTGCTCACCACTCATGGGAGATGGCCTCTTCTGCGGTGATGCGCTGGTCTTGCTCCACCTCCATCAGCCTTGTTACCAGGTCTTTGGCTGGGGACAAAGCCAGGGAGAGGCTAGGCATGGGCACCTCATCTCACTGTCTATGGGTGATGAATGGGCTGGGAGGTAGGAGCAGAGTCCAGCAGAGAAGGCTGAGAGCAGGTCCCCCACACCAACCCTTCCCTTTACCCACATGCTGGGCACCTCCTCACCCGCCTGTGAAATATCATCCCAATACGGAGAGTCAAACTCATAGTCGCCAGCCAGGATCTTGCGGAAGAGGTTCTTGTCATGGTTCTCATAGTCATCTTCCTCTACCTCCTCATAGAAGGGGGGGTTCCCTGAAAGCCTGCATGGGGAGCCAAAGGGCAGGGTCACCCAGAGGGCCATGGACACAGGACCCCACCCAGCCTGGCTGCAAGCCTGTTTGCCTGCCCATCCACTCACAGGATGTACATGATGACTCCAATGGCCCAGCAGTCCACAGGGCGTCCATATCGCTGCCGCCCTACCACCTCCGGGGCTGCAAACACAGTGTCCATCTGCTGGTCAGTACCAGGCCTAGGCCTGGTACCACTCACACCACTTCCCGGGCTAGACACTTCCTTCCCCCTCTACCCAGAGCCACTCCTTGAAGGCTGTCTCCCACCCTGCCCCTGCCCCACCCCCTGCTTGCCCAGGTACTCGGGAGTCCCACAGGGCTCCTTGATGAGGCCATTCTCTAGCTTAGCCAAGTGGAAGTCACTGATGACGATCTTTGAGTTCTTCAGCCGATTGTAGTAAACCAGGTTCTCCAGCTGCTCCGGGCAGGAGTGACATGTGGGTGAGCAGAGAAAGACTCCATGAGGACCCCAGAGGCTAGACTAAGACCCCAAGGTGCTGCCCACCTCAGCCCCAGGCTGGCTGCTGTCAGACCTGGTTCCTGGCCTCACCTTGAGGTTCCTGTGCACGATCTTGAGTGAGTGCAGGTAGGCCACGGCCTCCAGGACCTGCCGCACCACATTGCTCGTGT